CTTTTAAAGGGGTCATATGATGCTTTTTTAAAGATCATTATTTTGTGTATTTGGTGTAAGCAAATATATACACACACGTAATGGACTTACTAACATTAGTCCACTCGTACTTCAAAAGGGGCATGTTGTCTCAAGAGTTCCCTTTCATGGGAACTTCGAACTGCGTCCTCTAGGGGTCTGTCTGTTTTTTCAATGTATGCTTCAGACACGGGTCACGACGAGGCGTTCCCCATAGCGACCCCTAGAGGACGCAGTGTCTCGTTCCCTACTCAGGGAACCATGGTTACATAAGTAACCTGAGACGTTATATATGGTTGGTCTATAAAGGTGAAAATTTTCAGTAGGCCTATCTATAAGGTTTGTGTACATACAGAAATTTAAATAGGCTACATAAATAAACCCACCCTGAATTGTTTTATTTTCGTAGTTTGTACACTCGACTAGACAGCTGAACTTTGTTACTTATTTGAATCAGTTTTATCGTCGTAACTTACAAGTGTTTGTCTTCTTTCCACAAAAATTCACTTTGCCAAAGCAAATAGGCACTGAAGACGTGTCAGTGTTAGTTACGGAAGATAATTTACAGATATGTACTAGCCTACACCAAACTAGTCAGATGTTTGACTAAAAAACGCAATTTTAGATAAGCTACAATGTATAAAACGCACAACACCGGTTCTTCTGCATCTGATTGGATGAGCAACTGAGACCGCACACCGCAGCGCGCCGTTGCTATGTTGCTTAGCAACCGTAAAAATCCCACTTAGCTCAAATCCATTTTTCAACGGCTCTGGCGAAAACTATTTATTCCGTATATTATTGTTATTGAATTTTTTTATCATAAAAAATTGTTCAAATGGTGCCTAAGAACACCCGTTAGCTGTAAAAAATCTGTGGATAAGCGAGAAGCTCGTCGTTTATTAAACAACAATTAACCTACAATTCTACATCGTATGATCTCTGTTTACATCAGTCAAAGGTTATCAATCATACAATGTCGTTATGTCCGGTTCACAGTGATAAGATTGGGAAACATTTGGTATTTAAAGTTAGTCAGTTCATTTACTATGTAAAATCATATGATAATGACTGAAGTGTCTTGAAAATTCTGCAGACTAACCTTTCACACATATTACACACAATTTTTTTTAATTTTTTTTTGTGCATGCCAGGCCAGTCACATATTACACACATCTATCAGCTGTTGCGGATTTGAATGATGAGCAAGTACTCACCACAAATGCCGGAAGGTTAATCATTGCGAATTTCACACCCCAGAATAATTAAATGTCAAACTTCGCCATTTTCTCAAGTTAAGCATCTGTCGAGTGTTTCCTTCATAAATGAGCTCGTTTGTTCACTTTTGCAGTCAGCTGTCTTAAAGGAACAGTTCACCTTAAAATTAAAATAATGCGATTGTTTCCTCATTATTCATATAGTCAAGCTAAAAAAAAAAAGCTAAAAAAAAAAGACTTGGGCGCTATATTCTAAATAATATATATTATATATACTATATTCAGTCTTCTGAAGCCACACAACATTGCGTGGAACAGATATTACATTTTTAATTTTAATTCTATTCTAACACAATAACACTACAAATATTTTCAGTAATTAAGATAAAATGAAATAAAATATAAATATGAGATGAAAAAAAATCGTTAAAAACTAAAAACGAATCTTAGAAATGTTGCCTAACTGAAATTAATAAGATTAAGAAGTACTAAAATTACTACTAAAATTACATAAAGCTTTATATAAATATTTAAAAGTAATAAAAATGTCAGAATCACATTTAGTAAAACAAAATTACTAAACATAGCCTATACTAAAATGAAAAAAATATGCAAATAAACCCTAATTAAAAATATTAATAGATAATATATATAAATAATACTAAAATAAAACTCATTACAAATTTGACTATAAATATTGCAGAATCTTAAATGTATCATTTTATTTTACACCTTCAAAATCTTACAATTTTTAGGTTTAAAGAGGACAAAATCACAGCTTTTCAGTACAGCCTAAGGCATTTAAACTTAAATTCATATATTATTATCATTATTAACATGCATATTTAATAATTATTATGAATCCAACGTTTAGTAAATGTAATCAGGATCAGATCAGTAATATTTGTGCTGCCAATCTGACACCAGATGACCTGTTTAAACAACCAGAGTCATGATAACAGCAGCTTTTGAGAACAAATCACCTGTTTTCCGCTCGTTCACTCGTGTGAGGATGACTGTAGAGATCTAGTTTGTCCACTAGATGTCAGCAGATGACTGTCTGTTTACAGTGATGGATCTGAAGGGAACATTTCAATGTCTTTCCACAGTGAGGCAATGATCCGTGTAGACATCCTGATAAAACAGACTCTGAATACACAATACAGACTGTACTAAAAGGAACAAAATGAGAAGTATATTTAAAAAATCTTGGTAAATGTATAACCCATCCTCTGTAAGGGTCGACTGCAGCCTGAGATATGTGGATTATGTGGTCATTTATCTGAGATAAAGATCAAGATCTGGTTAATAATTCATAGATTATAGGTTAAATGACATGCAATAGACCCACTGAACCAAATGGCTAAATTTAGCAGCTCATCTGGTGCGCGTAACCACACCTTCTCTCCTCTTTTCTCGGGTTTGTACAGCACAGTACATCGTGTCCCAGTGCTCTTCGAATCAGTGATCTGACAAGAGAAAAATGTTCAGACTGTGCAGGGTGTACGTTACATTATGTGCCTTTATAGAGGAGACACTTCACTTGTTAAATCAGGTTATCATCTTGGAAACCACCAATTACATTTATGACCTCTGTTGCATAAGCATCATAGCCATATTTATGATCCTGTCGTATATGGGTCATATACACTTTGCTGTCCTAGCAGTGAAAACCGTATAGTTTAAAAAAGTATAGTAAATACGATGGAAAATTGAGGGGAAACAAGATATTTATGGCATTTTATGCATATAAATAATGTATTATTATTTACATTTTTGTGTTACAGCATAGTTTATTGTATTATTATTATACAAGTACAATGTCCCCTACCACTTGTACTTCACTGTTTTCTCCAGAGCTGCTTTAAAGATGAATTACACTCATTCCTTAATTGATGGACTTTACATTGAACTGAACTGAATCAACAATCAACTGAATAACTACTGTTGACTTTTGTCTTTTTAAAAACTGCTCTACAGTATAAATACATTTTGTTTGCATCACTATTATTTTCCTGTTGGTCTGTGTAAAGCTGATTTCAAACCATCTAGATCTATCTATATCTATCTATCTATCCTCCTGTCTCTCTGTCTATATATATATATATATATATATATATATATATATACAGTATATCAGGGGGCGTAGATTACGCGGGGGCCAGGCCACTTTCCTTGAGAGTTTAGCTCCAATTGCACCTGAACCAGCTAATCATTGTCTTCAAGACTACTAGAAGGCTACAGGCAGGTGAGTTCTAAGGCATGAAACTCCAGGGCTGAAAATGAGTCCCACTCCGGCCCTGGTCTGTGCATGATCTGATGTTTTATTCGGACCCAGATTTAGGCGAGATGAACATCGCGGAGCACTAAACACTCATGCAGTGTATGTTTCATTCATACTCGAAGCCGGAGGGCGCTCTCGCGCAGAAAGTCGTAC